GCCAAGGCAGGTGGATCACCTGAGGTCAGGAGTTCGAGACCAGCCTGACTAACATAGTGAAACCCCATCTCTATTAAATAGAAAAAATTAGCCAGGCGTGGTGGCGCATGCCTGTAATCTCCCAGCTACTTGGGTGGCTGAGACAGGAGAATTGCTTGAACCCAGGAGACGGAGGTTGCAGTGACCTGAGATCGCGTCACTGCATTCCAGCCTGGGCAACAAGAGCAAAAACTCCAACTCAAAAAAACAAATCAAAACAAAACAAAAAACTGGTTTCAGGTTGGAGCAGGCAACCTCAGCAGCCAGGCTATAGAGAATGACATTCCTGGAGCAGTGTTATGTGCCACCATTCTGCCCCCCACTTCTGGACTCTGTTTTATTTGGGTGTGACAAGAGTTACCCAGTTCGTATGATCAACTGTCACAAGAGACAACCATCACAGACAACCTGCGCTGTGGGGATGCCTCTGGAGTCTGCCCCAGGCTTCCAGCTACACTTGGCATATTGACCACACAGGGGAGAGGGAGTCTCCTCTCCCTACCTACACCCCACCAGAATTCCTTGGCAGTTATTTTTATTTTTAAAATTTAATTCAATTAAATTTGTATTATTTATTTATTCATTTTTGAGACAGAGTCTCATTCTGTCACCCAGGCTGGAGTGCAGCGGTACAATCTGGGTTCACTGCAACCTCTGATTCCCGGGTTCAAGCGATTCTCCTGTCTTAGCCCCCCAAGTAGCTGGGATTACAGATGTGCACCACCATGCCTGACTAATTTCTATATTTCTAGTAGAATCAGGGTTTCGCTGTGTTGGCCAGGCTGGTCTTGAACTCCTGACTTCACGTGACCTGCCCACCTTGGCCTCCCAAAGTGCTGGGATTACAGGCATAAGCCACCACACCCGACCTATTTTTAAAAAGGGATAAATCCGGCCGGGCACAGTGGCTCAAGCCTGTAATCCCAGCACTTTGGGAGGCCGAGATGGGCGGATCACGAGGTCAGGAGATTGAGACCATCCTGGCTAACGTGGTGAAACCCCGTCTCTACTAAAAAAATACAAAAAAACTAGCCAGGCGAGGTGGCGGGCGCCTGTAGTCCCAGCTACTCGGGAGGCTGAGGCAGGAGAATGGCGTGAACCCGGGAGGCGGAGCTTGCAGTGAGCCGAGATCCCGCCACTGCACTCCAGCCTGGGCAAAGAGCGAGACTCCGTCTCAAAAAAAAAAAAAAAAAAGGGACAAATCCACAAGGACAAAGGGAATGAGGGGAGGTGACTGTGGGGAAGAGATGCCAACATGCTTCTGTGAGGTAGAGAGTGGAAGGAGGCAGTGGCCGCTTCCACAGATCATAGTGGGGCTAGCAGAGGAAACCTGAGGAGAAGCAGCCACTGTGCCCCCAGGATCCCCAGGAGTCAGCACTCAGACACTGCAGATTGCCATAGATCACGAGAGAGGCCTGAAAATCAGGGCTGCCTGGAAGTCTAGTTCTCAGCATTTGTAACCCTCAGGCCCCTCCCTGACTTCTGCATCTGTATCTAGATGATTTGGCATCTATATGTGAATTTATGTCTTTTCTGCCCAAAGAGTTTACAGTGTCAAGTTGGTCAAGGATCAAGAAGAGATTAAGGACCATATTAGGTCTCAGACAAGGTAACATGAAGAAAATAAAACACAACCACCACCACCACCACAACAACAAAACACCATTAGGGATGACAAGCTTGCATGTTTCCAGGCAGAGTAGCATTTGGATGATGAAAGTGCCCTGGGGAGAGTGTCTGGGTGTCAGGGTGATGCAGGGGTCCTGCTGACTCCATTCATGGTGCTGTCTCTGGCTGTGGGATGGAGTCTGAGCCTTGCTGAGGAGCGAGCCATGAGCGTTTTTGTTTTTTTTTTTTGAGACGGAATCTCGCTCTGTTGCCCAGGCTGGAGTACAGTGGCGCGATCTCGGCTCACTGCAAGCTCTGTCCCCCAGATTTACGCCATTCTCCTGCCTCAGTCTCCCAAGTAGCTGGGAATACAGGTGGCTGCCACCAGGCCTGGCTAATTTTTTTGTTTTTTTTTTTAGTAGAGAAGGGGTTTCACCACGTTAGCCAGGATGGTCTCGATCTCCTGACCTCGTGATCTGCCCGCCTTGACCTCCCAAAGTGCTGGGATTACAGGCTTGAGCCACCATGCCTGGCCGCTGTGAGCCCTTTGACCTTGAAGTCTGCAGATGAAGTTGGCACTTGTAGGAAGGAAGGAAAAGACACTTGACCAAGACATAAATGGATAAGATCCTTCAGGCCAATGGAAGAACCTGAAAATTCTAGGATGTCAGGGTCTGACCCTGGGCCATGCTTGTGCAGTGAGCAGGCTGTGTTGACCAGAGTTCCTCAGTCATGTGCACACAATGAGGATCCCCCTGGGTATCCTCTTGAAATTCAGATTCTGACTCAGGAGGTCTGGGGTAGAGGCTGAGGTTCTGCATTTTTCTATAGGCTGCTGGATGATGCCCACGCCGCTGGCCCACGGACCACAAGTGGAGCAAGGCAGGAGCAGGCAGGCTCCACTTACCCGGCTCCAGGGAGCTCCCTCGGGGCCACCTGGCCACACTCTCCCCTCTCCCAGCCTCCTCTGCCATGTGCTACCTTCTCAATGGGCCACACCTCTCCTGCTTCCCTCCAACCAGCACAGACTGTGGAGCTTCCTGGCAGAGTGAAGGGCCAAAATACAGCAGATACAATTGTTGTGCTAAGAAACAAATTTTTAAAATGTGATATGAAAGGGAAACCTCCATGTCTGCAGCTTGTTCCCTGGGCCGATTGCTCTGAGGTGACAGTGGCATTTTATGTGTGGCCAGTCACTGAGGGGCACTGCCCTCCTGCAGGGGAGTCCCTGAAGCCCCAGCCCCAAGTGTGGGCTCTGTAGCCACAGCTGTAGACAGGGCTTCTTGCAGTGGGCCGCACCGTGGCCTGCTGAGAGCACAGTGGACATGAACTGAGTCCAGAGCTTCCTCTGAACTGGGACTAAGCTCTCCAGTGGGGAACCATGGTCAACAGCTGCAGCACCTGGGCAAGATGGGGCCTGGCCTCCTGCCCTCTGCAGGGTCATGGGAGTGTCTGGGAGCTCAGGGTCAGGGCCAGATGGCTGTTCCTGGGGCCTGGGGCTCCAGCTCAGGCTGTTTGGGAACAGGAACTCTTGGCTTGGAGAAGCCCATCACACAGCAGAAGGCCTGGGATGGTCGGTCTACGGGGAGCAGCTCAGTCTGAAGGTGGCAGAGCCTCGTGTGGCTGTGTGTGGCTGAGTCGGGAGAGTGGCCAGTGCTGGGCCCTCTCTAAGGAGTCCGAGGGCCACAAGGACCGTGGAAAGGGTCTGAGTGAGGGAGTGGAGACCTAGTGGCTAGGAGACTTGCTTGCTTGAGGACGCTCTCTGTGGCCACAAGGAGAGGCCAAGGCAGGACTAGGTCAAGAGGAGGCTGGGGCAGAGACCCTGGCAGGAGGTGGGTGCACTGGGTGGGGATGGGAGTAGCCAGGATGTAGATGAGGATAGGGAAGGGCCCCCCTGCCTCCTGGTTTCCTTGAGGGCAGGGCTGGCCAATCCCAGCCCAGAGGCAAATGTGTGCAGGGAGGAGAGGGGTCCAGATTGGAGCTTTGGGAGCCCTTGGAGGGAGCAAGGCAGATTCACCTCTGGGACCCAGCACCCAGCTTGGGTCTGCAGGTGGGGGCTCAGGAGTGAACATCGTGGGGGCTTTGAGCAAGACCCTCTGGGCCCCAGACTCAGCTTCTATACTTTGAAGTCAAGGAGTGACCTGTGCTGTCTGAGTTTGCTCTGGGGTCTGGGAAGTCCTGTGGTTTGGGCAGAGGCCTTAGAGGGCCCTAGGGACAGACTGACCCTGGTCTGAGCCTCTGCGGAGTGTGGGGGTGACCGGGCTCGGACAGGCCTGGTTATGGGTTTGTCTTCCACAGGGCACACGTGCACTTAGGTGCTTCCTGGCATTCAGAAGAGAATGGGGAATTCAGACATCAGGCCTTCCTTCTCCCTGGGAAGGATGACAGTTGCCTGGAGCCAGGCCTGTCTTGAGAGCCAGGGCCCTGGGCCTTCCTCTTCTAGTGCCCTGTTCCAGGCTTTCAGTGCAGAAAGCACTCCCCTCCTGGGGTCTCTTCAGGGTTCCCCGGGATGCAAATGGGACAGGGAATCGGATCCCATGTTTGAGGAAACCAAGGCCCAGAGAGGGGAAATGACCTGCCCAGTGCCACAGGACAGTCAGGGCGCACCTGGGTTTCAATGGCAGTCTGCTCTGAGCCCCATCATGTCAGTTTGTCTGAGTCAGGCTTGGCAAGGGGGTGCAGCACTGCCAGGCCCCCCTTTTCTTCCTCAGGATGACCGACCAGCAGCCCTGCTGTTCTGAGAGTCCCTTTCAACAGAGAACCCCTTATTTGAGTGACCAGGAATAGACCCCTGATTATACTGGTGGGCGGGCTATGGATTTCATGGGCTTCCCGGTGCCAGAGACTTGATTCAGGCACTTACCTAACCTGAGCATCCACTGTGTGCCTGGTAACATCTCCGCACTGGTCACATCACAGGAGTGTTCTTAGGTCCTAACTCGGAATAACGGGTCAGAGCCCCCCAACCCCCAGGCATAGGCCCTAAGCCCCGACACTGGCGTTTGTGTCTGAGACGGGGTGGGAACACTTCTCTGTAGGAAATGTCTTCAGCCCAGGATCCAGGGATGGGGAGAACCTTGAGCCCTCTCCAATACAAGCCCAATGGGAGGAACCTGGGGTGTCCCTGGCAGAGAAGGGACCCAGCCCAAGCTTCCCCTGCCCCTCAGGCACCGACTGCTTCTTGCTCAGGGGGTCCCCTAGGGGTTTAGGGACAGAGGGAAGGTCTCGTAGGGCTCTGGGCAGCAGACTGGCAGGGGGCAGCATGTCTGCCACCCCGGGCCTGGAGACTAGTTGAGGTACATGGCCACCTGGGCTGCCTCTGGGCTCAAAGATGAGAGAACCAGTCCTGGGTGCAGTGGCTTGTTATAGAAATCTGTTTAATGGTTTAGGAATGTGTACACTGGCTCTGCCAAGTTTCCATAAAGGCAACTTTTCCATGTTTTAAAAAATAGATTTGGTATAAAGATTTATATGTTCATAAATAGGTGACATGAAAAATTACCAAATGCAAATAGAATACTTGGGCTGCCTGAAGCCCTGTTCACTCCAAGTCCAGGCCCTGCAGGGGTCAGAGGGTCCCTGCTGGAGGAGGCCCCAACTCCAACAGCCTCTTAGGAAGATAAACTGAATGCAATGTGTATTAGGAACCCTCCAGCTCCTTAAGCCAGCATCACACTGGCCCCACCCTGGCCTCAGCCCACCTCCCTCTGCTTCCCCCACCAGTCACCTCCACCCTTGCCCCCTCCCCTGCACTCCAGCCCCTGACCCTACCTGCTCCCACTCTTTGGCAATTTGTCAACAAAGGAAGAGATGACACTGTTCTCCCACCCCAGAGCCTGGGCTGCCAGGAGAGCTTAGCCTGCCTGCCAAGGGGAGGAAACAAGCCAGTTTTGTTTTGTCTCACACACTTCCCCATCTTCTCTCCCAGCCGTTTTAAGGACCGGAAGGGCAGTGGGGCCCCCTCCCGGTGGGATACAGCGGGGCAGGAGCCCCTGCAACCCCAGGTACAGGCCCTGAGCCCCTGACCGACTTTTGTGCCTGAGAGTGGGTGGGAACGCTTCTGGGTAGGAAATGGCTTCAGCCCAGGACCCAGGGGTAGGGGAACCTCGACTATGGGGTGGGTTGCTCCTGCCAAGGGGTACTAGGGGCAAGGCCCCAGGGTGGGGCCAGTTCTAGGAGCTGTGTCCAGCTAGACCATCTGTGACCCCAAATGGCATGAATAAAAGGGCAGGTTGGTAAGAGCCAGGGGAGGGCATGGGGCAGGGAGGCCAAGTTGGCCCAGACAGGACAGAGGTGCTCCAGGGACAGGGTGCCAGGCAGAGCTGTGGGGCCTTTGAAACATCCTGAGGGCCCAGGCCTGCCACTGGGTGACCTGGGCAGAGAAGCCCAGAGGACAGCAAGGTGCCCAAATGAGAGGTCAGGGCTTCTGGGGTGGAGGGACAGGGGCACAGTGGCAGCAGGGGAAGGAACGTGGAGTCCCAGGTGCGTTTGCCTTTCCAGGCCAAGCCCTTGGAGTAAGGCTGCTCCTGCCTGGGGGGTGAGAAATGGAGGTGGCTCACAGTCCCAAGGTGACAAATGAACCCATCACCGGTCAGCTACCATCCCTGTGAAGGAGCCAGGGTGGAGAGCCCTGTCCATGTCCTCCCTCCCTCCCTCCCTAAGCCCTGAGGAAGGTAACAGCCCCAACTGTGAGGCCCCGGCCTGGAAGCAGAGTAGGAGAGCCGGGCTTTTCAGAGGTGGGCAGTGGGTGGTGGTGGGCAGTACCAGTAACTATGCTCAGATGGCTGGGACTTGCCCTGGAACTGGGGCTGAAATTCAGACAGGGAGTCCCAGGCCTTTGCTCCCAAGACCCCATGCATGCTCCGTTCCCCCCAAAACAGAGGGGCTCTGCAAGGACAGGCTTCATGCGACTTCTCTTCCAGTGTGGGCCTGCGGTGAAAGACCAGCTCAGCCCCTCCTGACCATGTGACCCCAGAAACATCAGCCCCAGCAGAAAGGTTGTGGGGCTGGAGGAAGGCACTGCCCACGACATATCCAGTTCCAGTGGAGTCTGAGGGCACCCCTCAGTGCCAGGCACTGTCTGCCCTGCAAGCAGAGCCCAGGCACTGCAGTGGAGGTGCAGGGGCAGAACCCAGACCCCACTCAGCTCCACTCTTGCCCCTGCCACAAGCAAAGCTGCTGAGGAAGGAAGCCAGGCAGCCTCACCTCTGGTGTCCCCCAATCTGATGCACCCAGACTCCCCTCAGTGCAGGTGCCAGCCCCCCAGCTCCTGGCAGCCTTCCTCCCTTGCAGAACCAGGCTCAGCATCCCACAGGTAGCCTCCCTGCCCAAAAGGAAGCCTGGCAGGTGAGATGCTGGCTCCACCACCACCATCAAGCCCTTGCTTGTCTCAGTCTCAGCGGGGGAACCCGTCGGGGCCCCAACCCTGCCTCTTGGGTCACCATGGCACTGCTGTAAGGCCTACTCTTGCCCTCAGCCAGGCCTGCTGGGAAAGTGTTTAGTGCAGAGGGCAGGGAGGCATGGGGGAGGCCTCTCACTGGCCCAGGGACTACACTGAGCCCTGCCTGGCCTGGCCTGGGAGCTAGACCACGCCCCGATGCAGCCCTGCTCGTGGGTCCAAGAGCTGCTTATTTCTGGGGCACCCGTGCTAAGGAGGCTGTGAGGCAGAGCTGGGCTGACACAGATGGACTGGGATTGGCTAGGGAAGATCACCTGGCCCCTCCAGTCCTAGCCCTGGCTCTCTTGTCACTGTGATACCTCTGAGCCACAGGCCCAGAGGACAATGCTGCTTCCCAGATCCCCCCACCCCACTTTTGCCTTCTAACCTTGGCACCCAGCTCAGGATGAGGCAGTTAAGGGCCCAGGGAATAAAATGGGCCAGGATAAGGACCGCCAGCCCCTCTCCTTTCTTGTCTGGGAGACTCGATTCTATAAACTAGACTAGGACCCACGCTCAGCTGGCAGGATTTCTGCTTGTGGGGTAAGGCTGGGTGCCTTGCAGTGCCCTCTCATCCCTGAGCCTCAAGGATGCAAGCATGCAAGCTTCTACTTGGACCTTAAATGTCCACTTTCCCATCTCATTCTCCCACCCGCCAAACTTTTGAGTGCTGGCATTGAAGGATTCGCTACTTTTGCAACCTGAGTGGCAAAACACTGGGACCCGAGCCAGCAGACAGTCCCCACCTAGCTGTGGGCCGTGACCCCATGCTGTGCCGATGAAAATGAGAAGCTACACGGAGAGCCAGAAAACTCAGAGGTCCTGATGAGGCAGTGAGCCAGGCCCCAGGGAGACGTCTGTGAGTGCTGCGGGGGGCAGTGAAGGCAGGAAGCAGGTTCCCCACCTGGAAGGGGCTGGGGCTTCTCTGGAGCTGCGCTCAGGCACTGAGTCTGTGGGTCTCATGGCTCTTGCTCTGCTGCTCTGTGCAGAGCCCCAGGATGACCAGAAGAACCCAGGGCACTGGGCACATCCCTGGAAAGCAGCAACCTGCTGCCACAGGTTAAGCAAACCCATGAGAGGAAACAGTCAGAGCCACCAGGCGTGGGACAGGGAGGACCACCAGCCCCTCCTACTGTGGCCCACACTGGCGGGTTCAGGCCAGTCCTGGAATGTGAAGATTGTGGAGGGCCAGCTGCTGGCTGGCAGGGTGGCCCGTGAGGGTATCCTGCTTCCCCTTCCTCAAGGAGAGCCTCCATCCTGCAGCCAGACCGCAGGATGCAGAGCTCCAGAACTTCACCCGGCTGCTCTAGTCACCGGTGCCCAGGGGGGCTGGCTCTGGAGGGCTGGGCTTGGCAGGCCGGGGAGAGCAAGGAGGTGGGGAGCCCCCAGCTTGCCGGCCCGGCCCCCGGTCAGCACCCGCAGCCCCAGCCTTCTCCAATGTCCTTGCTGTTCAGCTGGATGTGGTCGGGGCTCTTCTCGCTGAACAGTGGGCCCCCATGCCGCATGATGAGCTCCGTGGCCACCCTCAGGAAGGCCTCCTCCACGTTGCTCGAGTCCTTGGCAGATGTCTCAATGGCACACAGGATGTCATAGTGCTCAGCCAGGCTCTGTGCCTCGGCCAGGGAGACCTCCCGAAGCTCGCTGAGGTCTGACTTGTTCCCTGCAGAGGAAAGCCAGGGGCAGCATGAGGCCACGGGGGCTGGGCAAGCCCAGTCCCACCTGGGAGGGCCATGCTGGCAGCCCCACGCCACTCCCCTCCACCACTACAAATGGACACCCTGGCACGGTCATCTACCTTTCTTTAAAAAACCATTTTTAGGCCGGGTGCAGTGGCTCACGCCTGTAATCCCAACACTTTGGGAAGCTAAGGCAGGGGGATAGCTTGAGCCCAAGAATTCAAGACCAGCCTGGGCAACACAGGGAGACCCCATCTCAATTTACCCAGCTCCTCCTAGAAGGTATGAGATGACTTCATTATGTTCCAAATAAGTTGTTAAATTGTTCCTTGACCCAATTTCTAGAATAACTTTTTAGAAGTCTCAGTTTTGTAATGTGGTTATAAGGAAGACAAAAAAAAAGAGTCTGGGCCGGGGGCAGTGGCTCACGCCTGTGATCCCAGCATTTGGGAAGGCCGAGGTGGGTGGATCACCTGAGGTTGGAAGTTCAAGACCAGTCTGGCCAACAAGATGAAACCCCTTCTCTACTTAAAAAAAATAAAAAAAGCCGGGCGCGGTGGCTCACGCCTGTAATCCCAGCACTTTGGGAGGCCGAGGCGGGCGGATCACAAGGTCAGGAGATCGAGACCACGGTGAAACCCCGTCTCTACTAAAAATACAAAAAATTAGCCGGGCGCGGTTGTGGGCGCCTGTAGTCCCAGCTACTCGGGAGGCTGAGGCAGGAGAATGGCGTGAACCCGGGAGGCGGAGCTTGCAGTGAGCCGAGATCGCGCCACTGCACTCCAGCCTGGGCGACAGAGCGAGACTCCGTCTCAAAAAAAAAAAAAAAAAAAAAAAATAGAAAAAATTAGCCAGGCATGGTGGCGAGGGCCTGTAATCCCAGCTACTCGGGTGCCTGAGGCAAGGCAATCACTTGAACCGGGCAGATGGAGGTTGCAGTGAGCCGAGGTTGCACCACTGTACTCCAGCCTGGGCAATAAGACCAAAACTCCATCTCAAAGAAAAAAAGGAGTCTATAAAGATCTAAAATTTCCTTGGCAACCTTAATTGATATAGCAACCAATTTCAAAGTGTGAAACTTATTTGGATCCTGATCTCAACAAACTGGAAAAAATAAAACACCTATGAATTTTATGAGCAATTATCAATCTGAATACAGACTGGCTATTTGATATTATTAAGGAAATGTCAGTATTTTTAGATGAGAAAATAATATTGACGGTTTTTTTAAAGTGTTTACATATTTTGTAGGTTCATGCTGGAATACTGCCAGGTGAAATGGTTTGATGTGCATTTGTCTCAATATGAGGAAGGGGAGGTGACATTGTATAGATGAGAGGAGGCTGGACTTGAGTTGCTGATTGCTGAAGCAGGGTAATGGGTACCTGGGGGCTCATTATTATTCTATTCCAAGCCAGATATAGTGGCTGACACCTGTAATTCCAACTACTTGGAGGTTGAGGCAGGAGGATTGCTTGAGGCCAGGAGTTCAAGATCAGCCTGGGCAACATAGCAGGACTGCATCTCTAAAAATATATGTATGTATATATGTATGTATAAATAAATACAAAAAATACTATTTTCATAGCTGTATAAAATGTTCTATAGGCCAGGCATGGCGGCTCTGTAATCAAAGCCTGTAATCCCAGCACTTTGGGAGGCAGAGGCGGGCGGATCATGAGGTCAGGAGATCGAGACCATCATGGTCAACATGGTGAAACCCCATCTCTACTAAAAATATAAAATTTCCATGCCAGGCAGGAATGTTTTCCAGAAATGTCCTGGATAAAAGGGAATTGGTAGCCAGGTGTGGTGGTGCGTGCCTGTAGTCCCAGCTACTCAGGAGGCTGAGGCAGGAGAATCGCTTGAACCCGGGAGGTGGAAGTTGCAGTGAGCCAAGATCATGCCACTGCACTCCAGCCTGGCATCAGAGCAAGACTCCGTCCCCCACCCCAGCAAAAAAAAGGGGAGAGAAATGGTTAGGCCAGGTGGGGAAAACTCTGTTCCTGCCAAGCGCTCCATGTCCCAGTCTGAACAGGCTATGGAAGGCAGGCCACATGGAAGCAGGCACCACCCTCTTCCCAACTAGAGTCAGGTCCAGGCCCTGTCTGTACATCTGAGTCAGAAGAATCAACCTGTTGGCCCAGCTACTCGGGAGGCTGAAGCAGGAGAACCGCTTGAACCGGGGAGACAGAGGTTGCAGTGGCTTTGTGGAGGTTGCAGTGGCTTTGCAGATCTTGCAGAACCAAGATCACACCACGGCACTCCACCCTGGGTCACTGAGTGAGATTCTATCAACCTGCTGTGGTAAGGACCCCAGGGATAACATAAGAGCTAAAGAGCTTCTCCAGTCCAGGTCTGGGAAGGTTGTATAGAAGGAAAACAAAGGTAAACAGCATCCTTCACAGCAGTAGTTCTCAAAGTGGGGTCCTTGGACCAGCAAGCTGGGTGTCACCTGGGAATTTGTTAGAAATACACATTCATGGGCCCCAACCAGCCCGCCTGGATCAGATGCTCTGGAGGTGAGGCCCTGCAGCTGCACTTGAAGAAGCCTTCTGTGGGATTCTGAGGCACAGAAGCCATCAGCTGTCCCTGCTCTGTGTGTGGCACAACAGAGAAAGTCAGAAGCTTGAGGTCAGCAGAAGCAAACTCAAAGCCTACATGTGTATGCTCACAGCGGACGCGGATAAAATCACTCCACTTTTCTGAGCCTCACCCCAGGCCCTGTCAAATGAGGAGAAGCCAGGATACAAGAGCTAAACCTTGACACATGTGAAGAACTGCAGAGCAAACTTCAGCTCCCTTTCTTCTTTCCTCTAATTCCAATGTTGAATATAACTTTCTATCTTTTTTTTTTTTTTTCTTTTTGAGACAGAGTCTTGCTCTGTCACCCAGGCTGGAGTGCAGTGGCGCTATCTCGGCTCACTGCAAGCTCCGCCTCCCAGGTTCACGCCATTCTCCTGCCTCAGTAGCTGGGACTACAGGCGCCCGCCACCACGCCCGGCTAATTTTTTAGTAGAGACGGGGTTTCACCATGTTAGTCAGGATGGTCTTGATCTCCTGACTTTGTGATCCACCTGCCTTGGCTTCCCAAAGTGCTGGGATTATAGGCGTGAGCCACCGCGCCCAGCCTTGAATATAACTTTCTAAGTGATTAGCGGGATCAGGATTTGCAAAACTATGGCTCAAACTCTGGCTGGGACTCCCTCTGGACTCAGGGTTACCCTGTGTTTAAAAAGCAGAGGGAGGCAAGGACAGGCAGAGTGATGGGATTTGTGGTCCCGAGGAACCCCCAACTCACCAATCAGCAGCTGCACAATGTTGGAGCCCGCGTACTTCCTCACATCCTCAATCCAGTGAGGCACTGACAGGAAGGAGCTCCTCTTGGTGATGTCGTAGGCGAGGATGGCCCCATTGGCACTGCGGTAGTAGCTCTGGGTGATGGTGCGGAACCGCTCCTGGCCAGCCGTGTCCCAGATCTGCAGCTAAAGAAATAGGGTTCCTCAGTGAACCCAGTGGCACAGGCTGAACATAGGGACAGGCAGAGTGACCCCACAGACCCACACCCAGAGCTGTGGTTCCACTGGGCTAGGAGGCCTTCTGAGCCCTTAGAAAGCAACTCAGTGGCTCAACCTTGTTGGAAAACCGGGGAAGCAAAGGGAAGGTGAGCAGCCCGTCCTGGCCCTCCAGGGTCCTCGGGGAATAGTGGAGGAAGGGGCATACTCTGAGCTGGCCCAGGTCCTCTGTGTGCCCCTCCATGTGCCCCTCTCCCCTTAGCACTGGGCCCACTGCTGGGAACACAGAACCACCAGTGCTCAAGCGGCCGGTGGCTGGAAAGCTGGCTCCAGGTGTACTGCGCCGCCAGCAGCGCACAAGGCCAGGTCCCCTCCCCTGCAAGAGCATCATGTACCCAGCTATATGTGAGGCTCCTCCAGCATTAGGGTTCCCTCAGGACTCTACAGCCTAGTGATGAGGGCTGTGGGAAAGGTGACTGGTGGTGGCAATGGGCAGAGTCCTCCCATGGGGCCTTTGAGTACAAGGCAGTTCCCATCAGCTGACCCAGCTTGGCCAAAGCAAGGAGCTTGGGGGCTTTTTCCACCCATATCTTCATTTAACACCTACTCTGCCCCACCTCCCACCAGACGTGGGCTGTGGAGGAGAGGTGCCTGTGGGCGGGAGGAGCTTCCCTAGCATCTTTTAGAAGCAGAGTCTGGCAGGATGGATACCAGGCCAGGCAGGGGCAGAGGTCTGTGGGGCTACTCCGGGAGATCACCAGCCAAGGTGCATATGCCAGGGCTCTCGGTGACCAAATGCCTCAGAGATCGGCTGTGCCTTCTCTGCCCCACCAATCACAGGTTTTTGTGGCTCTCTGAAGACAGACACCCAGCTTGTGGCGTATGCTGAGCTGCAGGTCCATCAGCCCCCTTTGCAGGCACAAACACTCGGGGTGCCTCTTTACCTAGTTCTCAAGGTATATGAGAAAAGTCTTCCTCTCAAGGTCTGTCTGGGGTGGGGAAAGGCCACAGAGGCCCAGACAGTTCCTGAAGGCAGGGCCTCTGTCCCTAGCACTGTGGAGGTGACCACCATTTCCCCAGCCCCAACACAGAGAAGTCTGAGAGTGAAAGCTCTGGGCCACAATGTGCCAAATACGACCCCTCTTTTCTGAGTTGTCCCATTTACTCCTCAGTAAATGGCTCCAAGAAAACCAGGCCTATGTTCCATAGTTCATGCGTCTAGCAGCTCACGCATGGCAACATGGGGTGACGTGCAAGGTTTATGTGTGCACCACACAAGTCTGGGATCCAGATAACCTCTGGTGTGGAGATAACTCGTCTCCACACATAACATGAAAGACACCAGCCAAACAACAGCAAAAACGCAACACAGAAGAAACAACACAGAGGCAAAGTCCTCAAACAATCATCAGTGTTTCAGAAATAGGGAAAGACTCACGGAATAAGAAAAGAATACTATCTTTTTTGGCAAGGGGCATTCAGAAAGAAAAAAGAGCTCAATTAAAAATATGATAACATACATGAAAAATGCAAGATCAGGGTTGGAAGACAAAGTTGAAGAAATCCCTCCAAAGTAGAGAAAAAATACCAAGAAATGGAAAAGAAAGAAAATAAAATTGTGAGCCAGGCGCGGTGGCTCATGCTTGTAATCCCAGCACTTTGGGAGGCCGAGGCAGAAGGATCACCTGAGATCAAGAGTTCGAGACCAGCCTGGCCAACATGGTGAAACCCCATCTCTACTAAAAATAAAAAAGTTAACCGAGTGTGGTGGTGCACACCTGTAATCCCAGCTTGGGAAGGTTGAGGCAGGAGAACTGCTTGAACCTGGGAGTCAGAGGTTCCAGTAAGCCAAGATGGCGCCACTACACACCAGCCTGGATCACAGAGTGAGTGAGACCGTCTCAAAAACAAAAAAGAAAATTAAGAACCAGGCTTGGAGAGCAGGATAATCAGAGTTTCAGAAAAAGAGAACAATAAAATCAAGGAGAGGAAATCAAGTATTTCAAGAAAAGTATCCAGAATTGACTGGGGCCCACCAGGCACACACACACAATGGAGCAGAGCAGACCACACTGCATCCATGGGCGGAAATTGCAGAACGACAGGCAAGAAGAAAGAATACAAAAGACCCATGTGGCTGGCAGTAGACAGCCAATGAAAAAATGCCTTAAAATGAGGAGAAAAATTATTTCCAACCTAGAATTCTCTGCCCAACCAACCAGTAGTCAAGTGTGAAGTTTAATAAAGGCATTCCCAGACATACAGTCCTCGAAAAATTCACGTTCCTGCCACCCTTCCTCAGGGAGTGACTGAAAGTTCCTCTACCTAAAGAAGTCAACAAAAAATAAGAAAATGTGGGATCCAGAAAACAGAAAGTTCAACTGAAAGGGGGGCAAAGGGAGATGCCAGGATGATGGAAAGGTAGATAGATCCCAAGATAATACCTAAGCAGCAGCCTAGACATCAGCCAACCTGGAGCTGGTGAGAGGGCTCCTGGAGCAGCTTCCAACCATGGCAGCATCACTGGTGGCAGAGTAGCCCTCCCTCCACACACACCACAGGACTGGAGAAAATATATGAGGCTGTCGTTTTTGGAATGTAGACAACAAGCAGCATGAGACCATAACCCCTAAAAGAGGAAAAACTCATGAAAGGCACCTCATGGTCATCATGACGCTCTACCTGGGAGTTTCCTGACCATGGGGATAGAATCCAAGCAGAGCACAGTGGTCCCACTGAACTAAGGAGGCAGAGATCAGGGTCTGGAGTAGATTATGTGATGAAATGAGAAGACATATGTAGGGGGAGCCCAAAAGTCTATGTGAGGTGTCCCAGTGAGCTCTTGACCAGAGAGTGCCCCTTCCAGAGTTGAGAACAGACCAGAGATAGAGGTTCAGGAGTGCCAGGGGTTGCTGAAGTTTCAAGCCAGACACAGTGAAGAGGCCTCATTAGTGTCTCATCAGTGCCCCATATATGAGCTGAGATATCAGAATGTCACTATGGGTGAGGACCATGCCTAAAGAAAGGCCTCTATAGACCTGCCCTAACCAACATAAGCCTTGGGTTTGGAGGTTGAGTTCTGCCACATTAGAGAGGCTCAGAAACACCTTCGTCTTTCCACATATCCACCCTAACAAAAAAAAAAAAAAAAAAAAAAAAGCCTAAACAAACAACTTCAAGGTGATCTGCCAGTAACTGAACTGACTACTAGGACAAGAATCAACACTCTCTTCTAAAGAAGATAACAGAATCCAGAGTCTCGTTAAGTTATCAACCACAATTCCCATATACTATTGAAAATTGCTAAACATGTAAAAAATAGGAAAATATGAACCACAGATAGGGAAAAAGCAATCTACTGACACTGATGCCAAAATGGCCCAGATATTGCATTTAGTAGGGAGACTTTAAAGCAGTGATTTTAAATATGTTCAGAAAATTACAAGGAAAGTATGTTTAAATAATTAAAGAAAAATATCATCATAATGAGTGGACGACTAGGGGATTTAAGGAAATAAATGAAAATTATTTCTTAAAACATTAAAAAATGTTTTATTAAACTATTTATTATTATTAAAATTACTGGCTGGGTGCAGTGCTTCACGCCCATAATCCCAGCACTTTGCAAGGCCAAGGCAGGTGGATCACCTGAGGTCAGGAGTTGAAGACCAGCCTGGCCAACATGGTAAAACTCCATCTCTACTAAAAATACAAAAATTAGCTGGGCATTGTGGTATGCTCCTGTAATCCCAGCTACTTGGGAGGCTGAGGCACGAGAATCCCTTGAACCTTGGAGGCAGAGGTTGCAGTGAGCCCAGATCACACTACTGCACTCCAGCCTGGATAACAGAGCAAGACTGTCTCAAACAAAAATATAGATATTAAACTTAAAGTTTTTTTTTTTTTTAGATGGAGTCTTGCTCTGTCGCCCAGGCTGGAGTGCAGCGGCGTGGTCTCGGCCCACTGCAACCTCTGCTTCCCGGGTTCATGCCATTCTCCTGCCTCAGCCTCCCAAGCAGCTGGGACTACAGGTGTCCACCACCATGCCCGGCTAATTTTTTGTATTTTTAGTAGAGATGGGGTTTCACTGTGTTAGCCAGGGTGGTCTCGATCTCCCGACCTCGTGATCCGCCCACCTCAGCGTCCCAAAGCGCTGGGATTACAGGCATGAGCCATAGCACTTGGCCTTAATTTTTGTTTTGAGACAGAGTTTTGCTTTGTTGCCCAGGCTGGAGTGCAATGGCATGGTCTTGGCTCACCGCCACCTCCTCCTCCTGGGTTCAAGTGATTCTCCTGCCTCAGTCTCCTGAGTAGCTGGGATTCTGGGCATGTGCCATCACACCTGGCTAATTTTGTATTTTTGGTAGAGACGGGGTTTCTCCATGTTGGTCAGGCTGGTCTCAAACTCCCGACCTCAGGTGATCCGCTTGCCTTGGCCTCCCAAAGTGCTGGGATTACAGGCGTGAGCCAGTGTGCCTGGCCTAAACTTAATTTTTAAATGAGTGGAAATTCTAGAACTAAAAATTATAATAAGTGAGGCTGGGTGCAGTGGCTCATGCTTGTAATCCCAGCACTTTGGGAGGCCGAGGCGGGCAGATCACAAGGTCAGGAGATCGAAACCATCCTGGCTAACACGGTGAAACCCCATCTCTACTAAAACTACAAAAAATTAGCCGGGCGTGGTGGCAGGTGCCTGTGGTCCCAGCTACTCGGGAGGCTGAGGCAGGAGAATGGCATGAACCCGGGAGGCCAGAGCTTGCAGTGAGCTGAGATCATGCCACTGCACTCCCACCTGGGCAACAGAGCAAGACTCCGTCTCAAAAAAAAAAAAAATTATAATAAGTGGAAAATTCACTGGATGAGCTTAATAGCAGATTACAGATGGCAGAGAAAAAAAAATCAGTGAACCTGAAGAAAAATCAATAAAGAGTTAACATGAGGAAGGGGAAAAAAGATGGAAGAAAATGAAT